ATATAGAAATAGGCCAAAAATCATTTTTATTAGTGTATATTAAGCTATTGTATGACTATATAATACTGTATTTTATCGTTCCCTATTTTGAACACTTTTGGCTGTTTTCAGTTTCTCACTTTATTTTTAATTTTATTTATTTACTTTTAGAGACAGGGTCTCACTCTGTCATCCAGGCTGGAGAGCAGTGCCATGACCTTGGCTCACTGAAGCCTCAACCTCATGGGTGCAAGTGATCCTCCCACCTCAGCCTCCTGAGTAGCTGGGACTACAGGCATGGACACCACACCTGGATGTTTCTAGGTTTTGTTTATAAGACTTGATTTTTAATATCTTGGGTAATTTTTCTATTTTTTTGGAGATGTAGGTCTCCCTATGTTGCTCAGGCTGGTCTCGAGCTCCTGGGACCAAGCAACCCTCCTGCTCCAGCCTCTGCAAGTGCTGGGATTACAGGAGTTTTTCAGTTTTAGCAATAATGCTTCAGTGAAAGTCCTGATACATGCCCACGGTACCAGGAAGCGAGAATCTCCACAGAGACGGCACTGGAGCAGGGCTACTGTGTCCCGGACCACGCACAACTTCCGCTGCAGTGTGGCAGGCCATGTGTGATGCCTGGCTTCATTTTTACTCACCACAGTGGTTAAACCAGCATAGCTTCCATCAGTGGTGTGGGTAATTGTTCATTTTTCCACAGCCGCGCTGGCACTTGGTGTTAGGAGTCTTAAGTTTCTCCAGGGTGATATAGGTGCTAACACCTCATCACTTCACCTTGTCATCTCTCTAATTTGTAGCAAGGTGGGATGTTTTAATATTTCTAGGTTTTATTTATAGGATTTGCTTCTTAATATCCTTCATTCTAGAGCATTCAGGCAGCCCCTGTTGGGACTTAGTCCTTAGATAGGGAAACACAGCTAACCTACTGCGACTCCCTGAGCTCACTCTCCTCCTGCTTCCCACTTTTCTGATTTTATCCCCTGTTGGCCAAACTCAACTGGAAGTCAGAAGGTGCCCACTGACACTGTCCTTGGTGGTCATAGGGCAAGGGTGCCCATTGGCACAGTCTGCAGAGGTCAGAGGATAAGGGTGTCCATTTGAGCAACCTCCAGAGATCAGAGGGTACGGGTGCCCACAGCAATTGCATGTGGAGATCAGAGGGCAAGGGTGCCCATTGGAGCTGCCCATGGAAGTCAGCTTTCCAAGACATGCTAGGTAGAGACAGAAGTGCAGGCCTTGGGGGACAAATGGGGACAATTCAGCACAGGGGCGGGGGTGGAGATGTGTGAGCCGTATGAGTCAGTTAGTATTCTATTGAGGTATCTCAAACAAGAGATGATGTCGGTTAGGTTGGGGAAGTGGTCAGATTCTGGGTCTATGAAAGTTTGTTCAGAATTTGCTGATAGATTAGCCAAGGACAATGAAAGGAGGAAACTCAGGATGGCTTGGGGTCTGAGAGGTTTGGAGGTGGTTGACTCTCTTGGTTTTCTCTTATGATTGTATCCTCTATCTCGAGTGCTTGGCACTTGATAAGGTTTTATCCATCTATTTCTTATCACGTGGAGATTTTCAGCAGTCTCTTCCCTTGAATGGGGCCCTTTCCTGTTTCATAAAGCCCCTATACGTTGGACCCTATCTGTTTTCTTGGTTTATTTATTGGTATTTAGAAGGGAAGAAAGTGTGTCTATCTGGGATCCTTGGAAAATAAATTTTAAAACAATATTATTTTAAAATAATTATTGGCCTGATTCATTTAATGTAAAAAATTTGGAAATTTTCAAAAATATTAAGCATTTTAAAATCAGCTATAAATACCCTTATATAAAACTTACCACTGTGAATATACTGGTATATATTTTAGTTTAAAAATATTTTATATATTTTTTGTAGTTGAGAGCATAATAAATACTGTTTCATGGTCTGGATTTTCATTTAATAATCAATCCTCAGCATTTCCAAAACTGTAAAATTATTAGAGAGCATCACATAATGAAACTATTCAGACTTATTTTATGATACTTCCACATATTATTTAGCTAATTCTGATAATTGATTATTTAAGATTTTCCCTAATTTTTAGCTGCTTTGGACAGTGCTATAATGAATAGTCTTATTTCTTTGTGTGTGTATGTCTGATTATTGTTTCCTTATAGGGACTGTTCTCAGAAATTAAATTACTTATCCAATATTTTGTCGCCTCTTAAGGATTTTAATATACATTGCTAAAATATCCTCTAGGACTGATCTTGATAATTGAGTTATTCAGGTACTCTGCTTCCTGATGATTGTTTTCTGTCTACCCTGGCTGGTCCAGAAGTTAAGCAGTTACTTAGTCAACTCTCTGGTAAACCCGATGTCCACTCTCTCTCTTCACACCATTGGCACACACAGACTTCCCCAACCCTGGATCCTCCTCCTGCCCAGGCGCAGAAGTCTGGACTCAGTTCTGCAAGGCCCTGTCTGAGTTTCTGGTTTTGTAAACTATTTTCTCCCTAAACTCTTCCTGCACCTTTATATCTTATACAACTTCTTCCCTACTTGATGCTGTCATTCAAGTTTACATTGACTTCATGGAAGTATTCTTACTTTACAGTTTTATTGTAAATGAAGATGTTAGAGAGACAGGAGGGTAACAGTGTTCTCATTGCCATGCAGGGAGCCTGAAACCCACAGGTTCTATAGGACTGTGGGATGAGAGCTTCTTGTCTCCTTCCAGTCCTCCAGCTGCAAGCTTTCCTCCTTGGTTGCTGGCAAATTTTGGTTCCCCAAGGTGTGAAGGACCTGGCACTATTCTTGCAATGTTGCCTTCCCTGGGTAGAACTCTCTGTGCAGCATGGGGTCTCTGTGGACTACAGGGAGCCCATGTGGCTGGATGAGGGCTAGGGCTGGAGATGGGGATTTTCCAGTAATAACCCATCCTTGTGCTCTGACCCTTGTTTTCCGGAGTGAATAAAGCCACACCCATGATGGCTCAGATCACAGGAGGTGAGCTGATGAGGACTCCTCTGGTGAAGGGGCTGGGTCCTCTGTTTTATTATTATTATTATTACTATTATTATTATTATACTTTAAATTCTGGTGTACATGTGCTGATATTACAGGATCATTGCATAGGTATACACATGCCATGGTGGTTTGCTGCCTCCATCCTCCCTTCACCTCCATTAGGTATTTCTCCTAATGTTATCCCTCCCCAATCTCCCCACCTCATGCTATCGCTCCCCGAGCCCCCTACCCCACAACAGACCCCATTGTGTGACGTTCCCCTCCCTGTGTCCATGTGTTCTCGTTGTTCAACACCCACTTATGAGTGAGAACCTGCAGTGTTTGGTTTTCTGTTCTTGCATCAGTTTGCTAAGAATGATGGTTTCCAGATTCATCCATGTCCCTGCAAAGGACCTGAACTCATCTTTTTTTTATGGCCACATAGTATTCCATAGTGTATATGTGCCACATTTTCCCTGTCGAGTCTATCATTGATGGGCATTTGGGTTGTTTCCAAGTCTTTGCTATTGTAAACAGTGCTGCAATGAACATATGTGTGCATGTGTCCTTATAATAGAACGATTTGTAATCCTTTGGGTGTATACCCAGTAATGGGATTTCTGGGTCAAGTGGAATTTCTATTTCTAGGTCCTTGAGGAATCACCACACTGTCTTCCACAATGATTGAACTAATTTACACTCCCACCAACAGTGTAAAAGTGTTCCTATTTCTCCATATCCTCTCCAGCATCTGTTGTCTCCAGAGTTTTTAGTGATCATGATTCTAACTGGCATGAGATGATATCTCAATGTGGTTTTGATTTGCAATTCTCTAATGACCAGCGATGATGAGCATTTTTATATGTTTGTTGGCTGCATAAATGTCTTTCTTTGAAAAGTGTCTGTTCATGTCCTTTATCCACATTTTGATGTTTTGTTTTTTTTTTTAATTGTACATTTGTTTTAGTTCTTTGTAGATTCTGGATATTAGCCCTTTGTCAGATGGGTAGCTTGCAAAAATTTTTTCCCTTTTTGTTGGTTGCCATTTCACTGTAATGATTGTTTCATTTGCTGTGCAGAAACTCTTAAGTTTAATTAGATCCCATATTTCTCTTTTGGCTTTTGTTGCCATTGCTTTTTGTGTTTTAGTCAGGAAGTCCTTGCCTATGCCTATGTCCTGAATGGTTCTAGGGTTTTCATGGTATTAGGTATTATGTTTAGAGATTTAAACCATCTGGAGTTAATTTTTGTATACGGTGTAAGGAATGGGTACAGTTTCAGTTTTCTGCACATGGCTAGCCAGTTTTCCCACCACCATTTATTAAACATGGAATCCTTTCTCCATTGCTTGTTTTTGTAAGGTTTGTCAAAGATCAGATGGTTGTAGATGCATGACATTACTTCCGAGACCTCTGTTCTGTTTCATTGGTCTATATCTCTGTTTTGGTACCAGTACCATGCTGTTTTGATTACTGTAGCCTTGTAGTATAGTTTGAAGTCAGGTTGCATGATGCCTCCAACTTTGTTCTTTTTGCATAGGATTGTTGCGACCATGTGGCTTTTTTGGTTGTTGTTGCATATGAAGTTTAAAGTGTTTTTTTTTTTGTTTTTTTTTTTTTTGTTTTTGTTTTTTTTTCCAGTTCTGTGAAGAAGGTCAATGGTAGCTTGATGGAGATAGCACTGAATCTATACATTACTTTGGGCAGTATGGCCATTTTCACAATATTGATTCTTCCTAACCATGACCATGGAATGTTTTTTCATCTGTTTGTATCCTCTCTTATTTCCTGGAGAAGTAGTTTGTAGTTCTCCTTGAAGAGGTCCTTCACGTCCTTCATTAGTTGTATTCCTAGGTATTTTATTCTCTTTGCAGAAATTGGATCCTCTGTTGTCTGATGGAGTGTGACTGACTCAGACAGCCTTTTAGCCCTGCTGAATCTAACTCCTACCTGGAAATACGAATTTCTGCTTTTGTTTTTTCTTTTTAAAATAGAAGCTGACTTTTTTTTTGTCTCTTTCAGATGGTTTTTTGTACCTTTATTGTTGCATCCAAACCATGGAAATTTGAACTCACCATGCTGAAGAAACATTGCAAAGATATGTAGGAATCTTCTAGCGTGTTCTGCCATACTCATTTCCATTTTAAAGAGGAAGAAAAGACACTTGCAAGAACTGGAACAACACAGTTAACCCACTGACCTCATTTGTTTGGCCTTTTTGCTTTTGTGTTCTTCGTGGGCTGATGTTGAAAATTTGTGGTGTGTTTTGACGGCATCATACAGCCTGTTCTAGCTGGATACTTCACCTACTAGCTGGGATAATCTGCTACCAATAAATGGAAGCTGTTTCTACACCTCACCCAACCCTGAGTACAAATTACCTTTCACTGACTGACAGCTCTTTCTAGATAACAGGAGAACCCAGCCCTTAATTGCTTCAATCATGCTGGGCACTTTCCGTAAGGCTCTGAGAGTCTGGCTGTCTTGGGAGTTTCTGTCCATGGATTTCTGTAGAAATCTCCCTTCCCAGGACTTTTTGGAAGACACATCCTGTTGGCTTAGAAACATCTAGTTTTAAACAGATCCAACCACAGAGACAGTAGGATCATTTGGAGATTTTCATTGGTTTTGAGTTGAGGCAGAAAAGTTAATGGTTCAGGGAGAGAAGACTGCTTTTGTGTGTGTGTGTGTGTGTGTGTGTGTGTGTGCGCGTGCGTGCATGGGTATGCATAAATGTGTGATCACAATTAGATGTATCAGTTAGTTAATGCTGCATGACAAATCACCTGGTCACTTAACAGCTCAAGCAATTTATTTATATGTCTCATGGTGTCTGTGAGTCAGGCATCTCTGAGTGGCCTGGCTGGGTGGTTCTGTTTGTCACCTTTCATCAGGTTACACTCTGATATTGACTGTGTGCCATTATTTGAAGGTTTGACGGACTCTGGAGAATCCCTTCCAAGGTAGCTCACTCCCATGGCTGCAGGTTGACAGTGGCTATTGATGGAGGTCTCTGTTCTCCACGTGGCTTCTCCACAAGATTGCATGTGAGCTTGGTATCCCAGTTGATTTGCTCCAGACACAGTGTTCCCTGAGACCACAACAGAAGCTATTATATGTGTTATGACCTAGACTCAATCCAGAACAGCCCTGGCTCAGTGTGGACTATACAAGGACATAAAGATAGGAGATTAGGGTCATTGGAGGCCATTTGGGAGGCTGGCCACTACAGTGTGTACACATGTGCGCATGTGTGTGCATGCACGTGTACGGGGAGTGGACTGAAGTGATGGAGGGATAACCTGACCATACAGAGGCACTTTCTGAAAACCTGATGCATAGACAGCAGCACCAGTGTGCAGGGTGGGGCCAGGAGACAATATTGTGTAATGGCCAGTAATAACACAGGGTCAGGTTCTAACTTAGACACATGAGAGGGGGATGGTGAAGCTCTGAGGCCACCTGCATGACAACTCTCCTTGAGGGCTCTTCTCTGACAGAGCCAACTGCAACCTTCTGAGCTTCTCTGCCTGAAGGCTTTCTCTGCCAATGAGGGGCAGGCTGGACTGCCAGTGAGTAATACCCATGAGAGGAGCCCTCAGCTCATGATAGCAGTTGGAGGATAAACATCCTGGGCTCTTGTCCCATGGATAGAACACCAAGTTGTGTAGTTGTGTTCCACCCAGGCCCTGAGGAGTGCTCTGCGAGACTGAGCTGTAGCTCCCCATATTGCTAGCTTCGCTATCCACGCTGCATCTGCCCCTTACTATTTCCACTTTCCAACTGCCATTCTGGAATCACTTCTAAATACTTGTACTTGAATTTTTGTCTCAAAGTCAGCTTTTGGAGGACCCAACCTAACAGTGGAAAGAGAGCTACTGTAAGTGGCAGCCTGAGATGCCCAGGGGGCTTCTGGCTGAGATCAGACATCGGGACACCCTTCATCTTGACAATGGAAACGCCAAATTCTGCCAAACTGTTTAAAGAGGTTTATTCTGAGTCAAATGAGTGACTAAGGCAGGGAAACAGTCTTGAGGTCCTGAGAAAGTGTGCCTGAGGTGGTCAGGTTACAGGTTGGTCTGATACAGGTCATGGAGTCAGGAGTTGCAGGTAAAATTATAAATCAATACATGGAAGGTATACATCGGTTCAGCCCCAAAAGGTGGGACATCTGAAGCCATGGGCTTACAAGTTATAGGTGTGTTTAGGGATTCTTTCGTTGGAAATTGGTAGAAAAAGTTAAGCTTTGTCTAAAACATGGAGAAGTGGAAAGGAATGCCAAGGGGACCTTCTACCTGTCAAGGGATGCCTTGCCAGTCAGTTGGAAAATCAAGTCACAATGTGCTAGGTCAGAAAGTTCCTTTTTGATGAGATTTTATGGTTTGTAAGGCATCATTCCTCAGGCCCTTAAACAGAAATTTCAGAAAGAAAAAAGAAAGAAAGAAAGAAAGAAAGAAAGAAAGAAAGAAAGAGAAAGAAAGAAAAAAAAGAAAGAAAGAAGAAAGGAAGGAAGGAAGAAAGAAAAAGAAAGAAAGAAAGAAAAGAAAGAGAGAAAGAAAGGAAAAGAAAAAGAAAAAGAAAGAAAGAGAAAAAGAAAGAAAGAAAAAGAAAGAAGGAAGGAAGGAAGGAAGGAAGGAAGGAAAGGGTTCAGTTCTCAACATGCACTCCCTCACATCTGCCAGCAGCTGAGCTCTTGGGTGGGGGCAGATGAGTGGCATTCTTCATGGTCCCACCCCGCCCTGGGCCCCCTCCTCTCTCATGTGCTGGCAGGGTCGTGGGGACACTGTCAGAGCAGTTCTTGTTCCATCCTTTTCCCGCCTCAGGATTAGGATCTCTATGCTGCTACCTGCAGCACCTGAGGACACATCTCTCCCATCCACCCAGCCTTCATCTCCAAGCTCTGTGCTTCTGGGGCCACTGGTCTCCCTTGCCTCTTGGCCTGAGCTGGCCAGCCCTACGTGGTCTTGTGAGCAGCCCATGAAGGAGGGTGTTCTTTGCTGAGTCCCGACAGTGTGATTGAACATTGGAGGGACCTGGGTGTTCACATGCCCTGGGCTACTTGTTTCCATCATACTCTTAACGCCTGTTTTCTGGGGCCTGCCAAACTCTACTGCCCACATCTAGAGTCAGTTTTGTTAATGTGATACATGCATTGGTTCGGGTGTAGCTCTTCAAAACTATCTGGCCTCTGGTGACCCATTGAGTCAGACTCAGGATGAAGAATCAAGATGAAGGCCCTTTACTGACTCACGGGATTTTTGAGTTTATTGACTAACAGCAACATTTTTGTGTGAGCATGAAAGGAAGTGGCATGTGTGGACACACAGACTCCTGAGAAACCCCCAAATTGTCTCCTTTTCTACCAAGGCTGCTAGCTTTGGCCATGCAGGATGGACACAGCCAGTGGGATGCCAGATCCCACCTTCACCCTCACATCAAAGACCTTGCTCTTCAGATGACAACCTGGATTCAAGTGTCATCTTGCCATCAAGCCATTCTTTTTCTCTCCCTTATGAATAACTTTGAAAAAAAATAAAAAGGAAGACAATGTCAAAAACTCTCCTTACAAAGCAGGGAATATTCCTGCAATGGACTGAATGCGTCCCATCCAAAATCCAGGAGTTGTCAATGTGATGGAATTAAGAGGTGGTGCCTTTAAGAGATAATTATGCCATGAGGGCTCTTCCCTCATGGGTGGGATTAAGGCCCTATAACAGAGGCCTCACGCAGTGTACCTTGCCCTTCCACCTTCCACCACGTGAGGACACAGCAGGAAGGTCCTCACAAGATGCTGGTATCTTGGTCCTGGGCTTCTCAGTCTCTAGAGCTGTGAAAAATTTTTATTCCCTATAAATTACCCAGCCTGTGTTATTCTGTTATAGCAGCACCAACAGACTAGGACAGTTCCTTTTCTGGGCTCAGCAGAGGCCGGGGAAGAATCACATCTCCAACTTACAGGATGCATATGGACATGAGGGACTCTGGATGTTAGGACCTGAAGGGGACATGTGGAGTGAGTAGGAGTTGTCTTGAGACCACATGCACGGCCAGGATTGACAGCTGGGAAGTGTCCTTGTGTATGTATCTTGGCAATTCCCTGCCCTCCCCAAGTTCCACCCCCTCTTCCCTTCCTCTACCTCGTGAGAGAGGTTTGTAGAGTCTGCAAAAACCTCCTCACATTCTCCTTGTCACTTCGTGTTCATGACAATGGTCAGTCTCCCCAGGGCCGCGTCCTGGCCCTGACCTCCTGGGAAAAATGAGGAAAGTATCCAGATGTCCCCCAGCAGATGGGAAAGTGCCCGCAGTGTAGAATAAAGCAGTGTGTACGTAGCACATTGTGGAATTAATTTACATTTAGTGTTTTCTTCTACTGCCTCGTGTGATTTCAGCTGTCACCGTTTGCGGATAGCCAAGCAGAGGTTGCCATGTTTATATAAGTGACTCAGAGACAGCAGATGAGAGATTAGGAGCTGAGGGGTGCAGAGTTGAATGAGAACTCACATTTCTGGGGAAAGAGGAAGCTCGTAACACCACTACAATCTGTGCCCCTTTTCCTTCCTGGGCTTGGGGTCCAGGAATACTACTGACCAGATGTTCCCAGCATGTCTCTGGCCTTAGCCTCTGGCACAGAATTTGCTCAGGGGCCCACCTCATGGCTACGCTCAGCATCTATGAACCTAATTTTCTGACTCTTGACCACACAGATTTCTGAAGGAGAAGTGTAGCTATCGCCAGGAGAAAGTATAGCTGTCCTCAGGCAGGGCAAGAGGACACCTTTCCAAAGGAACAGGGCCCTTAATGCAAGAGCTGTCCTCTAATTAGGCCTGTGCCCTGAGGTCATGTCATGCGTGACGGAGAGTCCTGGAAATATGTAGAAGTCAACATGTCCCAGAAATTGTGGACATATATTTCTTGGGGATGCAGAAAACTGTTAAAGACACACTCATGTAATCTGAGTCAGGCAGAAACTAGCACATCCTCCCAGGGAACGTGCTTGGGGTGGGTTCCTCTCCCCTTGCTCCATGAGGGGGCACTCTGCTTCCACAGAGTCCTGGGCCAGGTCACCCCCCACAGTGGGCTCACTCCCCATGAGACCCTGTCCTGGGAACTGCCTCAGAAATGATGTTTGAATGAAATTAGTGGGGCCGGCTCTTTGGAAGACACCTGTGGGAATCACTGTGGATAAAGCGCCTCCTCTGAGCTTCCTTCTGCTGACGGAGTCAGGGTCAAGAGAAGGACCAAGGGTGGGAGTGCACAGGGGAGGTGGTGGGAAGGTCTCAGAGGAAAACCTGCTCAAGTCTGGAACAAGGCAGGGCAGGGCTGTGTGGGTTCCAGAGACCAGATGGGACAAAGTGCAGCAGCCGTGCCCACCCCAGGGCTGGCAGACCACAGGGAGGCCTCCGGGCCTGGCTCTCCCCTCTGCTTGCCTGAATGCATGTGGTCTAGGGACCACCCTTCCAGAATGTCTGTGAAGGGCACATCCCAAGACAATGGTCCAAACGATGGCTTTGTGCTGGGACCCCAAAGGCTGACCCTGAAACGCAGACTGGCAGGTGCAGGTAGTTTATTTGGAGGTGATCCCAGGACACACAAGTGAGCAAGAGAGACAGAGAAGGGGAAACGCAGCGTGTCTGTTACCAATGTGTTACCCTGGGGCCGGGCGTTCATCCTGCTACGGAGCTCTTTGAACCATGTGGCATGCGCCTCTGAATCAGGTGCCCGGACGCTGGGAGACTGGGACATTCACCTGCCTCCCTCCTGAAGATGGAGTGTGACTCTCAGACTTGACCTTAGGGTTGGGAATCATGGCCCGAGGGCCAAATGCAGCCCCATCTGCTGGTTTCCATGTGTAAACAAAGTCTTGTTGGGACATGACCGCTCTTACTGACTTTTGTCTATGGCTGCTTTCAACACACTAAGGCACTGTTGGGTAGTTGAGAAAGTGACTACATGGCCTACAAAGACCAAAATAGTTACTTGTAAAATCTTTGCAGAGAAGGCATGCTGAGGCGTGGTCTGGGAGATGTGGACAGGGTGTCCATAGCTGCCGGTCGTTCTCAGCTAATACAGTAAGTAGACCTGCACGCTGGGAATTAGCGCCAATGTCACATGTGCCGTGTGGGATCCTGAGTTCCTGTCCTGCTCCTCCCCAGGAGGCCACTGTCACTGGTCCTCTGCAGCCTACATGAGCCCTGAGGCGGCAGCTCAGATGCAGCTCAGCTGTGCCTCTGGAGGCAGTTCAGGAGGCCCGATGGGGAGAAAACCTACCCCTGAGAGCCTAGGAGGCTGCCTTGCTGAGAATAGCTCCATCAAATGCCCAGGCCCTCCGTCCGGAATCAAGGCACACAACGCTTCTTAAAATGCTAATTGTTAAGATATATACTACATGATCAACTTAGACAATGAAGAATTTCTAAAATACCTGAGCATGAGCATCTAACACATGGAAAATGAGAACGTGCGAGCCCAGAGCTGCTCAGGCGCTGCCGGGCCGTGTTGAGGACCTGCCGGCGTGCTGGAAAGGAGCCGACAGCACGTGGCCAGGCACGTGGCTGGGTCCCACTCAGGAATGCCCGGCTGAGCATGTCTTGTTCCAGAGTTCAAAATGTGTTCTCCAGGGTTCTAGGCTGATGGTGAAGAAGCAGGTGTGGGTCTGAGGGAGCAAGCGCAGGAAGGAAAAGTGGGTGGGGGCTCGGGAAGCAGACACCTGTGGCTTCTGCTATCAACACACGCTCCATCTCGGTCTTGCCCATTCCCAGGGCTGGGCTCTGGTCCCCAAGTGTGGCCCTTCATCCTGAGTTATGGGCTGTTCCAGACTTTCAGGGTGATTTGTGGCTCCCTCCTGACCCAGGAACCCCTGTATTGGCACCCTCCTCCCTAGCCAGCGGCCTCCAGGGGAAACCCAGGCTGGCTGGTGTCTTTCATCCCCCAAGAACAGCACGGCACACTCCATTCCAGAGGGAGCTGTGCTCAGATTGAAACAGTTACAGAACCTATTACCCAGTCCTCTGATAAGGGGGTGAAGTCATGCTAGCTGTGTTGTGCACAGTGTCAGGGTTCCTTATGTCCTTGTCCCCAGGGCCAGCACCGGACCAGGGAGGGAGGGCAGTGGGGCCGCCCACAGTTTCCACCTCCCTCAGGCTCTGGGTCAGGATAGGGGGACCCTGAGAACCGCACACTCAGAGAGAGGTGATGTTGGAACCCCACCAGGCTCTTTCTTCAGAAGGCAGAGGAAGGCTGGGGAGGAAGACCAGAGAGGTGAAGCCTCTACTCAGGCCTAGAAGACCAGGACCCCAGGGGCCAAAAGCAGTCTGAAGCCCATGTGCCCTGGGTACCGGCAGCTGCAATGGCATGGCAGGGCAGGTTGGGAAACTCAGATTGGCCAGGAGCCTGCAAGGGGACCCCTGGCTGCCTGCCCTCTGCGCTCCCCATGAAGGCACAAGCAGAGTGGCCTGGTGGAGGCCGCTGAGGGCTCACTCCTCTAAGTCTCTTTGTCAGCTGCACCCGTACCCACACCACGCCCCGTGCTGCACCCACAGCTGTGGACATGCGGGAAGCTGGTGCCCTGTCTTACATTGTTCAGCTCTGGGCCTTGTTGAAAAGGACAGTTGTCAATGTCGTCTTCAAATTTCCCACATGTGGTTCGGCCCAGTTGCAGATTCATGGAGAATGTCATCTTATCATCACCCTGTTGAATAAAAGAGATTAAAATGGACACACTCTTTGAGTTGCTCATAGGTAACTCCTTGGGAAGACGTGACCTCGTAGGAAGAGGCCACAACACTCTCCTCCATTAAGGAGCTCGTACATGGACCTGGCATCAGCTCACTGGAGGTAAAAACCAGGAGACCTTCTCCAGATTGAGGAGTTAAGAGCAAAGAGCAGGTATTCGTGGTGGGTTCTGGGACAAACACAGGCTGTCAGACCCTATGAATGCGTCCTCTGTCTCCAGCTTCACCTCCCCGTCTTCCGCAATGAGACCCAGCTTCACTCTCAGCAGGTATCTGATCCTGCAGCTTCACTTTCAGAGGACAGTCGCTGCATGCTTGGGAGGATGTTGGCTCTCCAAGAGTTTTCAGGGCAACCTCAGCCCTGGGACAGAAGGAGGCTCATCTGCAGCGTGCTGTCAAACCATCCACCTGACCTCCAGCAAGAAGAATGCAAGAATGCCACCCAAAGCTCCCACTACACACAGGCGCACACCCTGGGGACAATGGCTTTAAGAAACACCATCTGCCCTATTACAAAGGCAATCTGAAGTCCTCCTTGCTCTCCTTCCCACTCCATTCTATTTCATTCCACTCCGTACCCTCCCTCCCGCTCCAGGCATTCCTCCCAGCCCCCAAACTGCCTCTGAGATTCGCCACATCTGCGAGGCCACGTGGAAGGCTCCACAGCAGAGGGCAAGGGGCAGAGAACCAGCCAGGGCCTTGCACAGAGTCTTTGCAGAACTTAAGCTCTGTGCAGCACGAGTCCTTCTGCCCTGCTTTCAGGCTCTCGGTGCTGACAAAGGAAGAGCAATGCTCCTTCTCCCCCGAAGCCGGAAGTGCTGCATTAGGAGGGCATTTTAATTGTTCATGCCGACAGCCCAGGTGAACTGTGCACTCCCGACTGCATTCCCGATTCCATTAAAAGGAGAACATTTTAGGATTAAGGACCATGGACTGAGGAAGAGTGTAACACAATGTTCAACTCATTGAGTGTAGACACAGCACGCAGCCCAGAGCAGGTGGAAATCAGAACTGACCTCGCAGCGGGAGCTGATAGCGCTGCTTTTTTCACTTTCTGAATTATCAGCTCTCTCTGTCTTTCTGTCTCTCTCTCTGTCTCTTTCTGCCTATCTGCCTGTCTCTCTGTCTCTCTTTCTTCCCTTTCTTTTACTCTGATGATCTCTTTTCTAATTTCTTTGAAATGTTTCTCAGTTTCTGCGGACATTTTTGGTGCGACCTATTTTCTTACCTGCTGCCTCATTTTCTCAGTTTTCCTTATTTTGAGGTTATTCTTCAGTTAAGTGATGCCATAAAAATCATGGAGGTTGACCAATATATCTAGTATTGAGTAGACCTAGACTCAAAAAAATTCTAATTTATATCTTTCATAAAGACGAAAGTAACTTTCTAGGTTGTATTTTATACAAGTTCGGACTCCAGCTGGTGAACCAAGAGTCCTTGCTAAGCCCTGACCACACATTCCCCACCCCGGCAGGAGACAGCGTGGTCACCAACCTGCTCCTTCCAGGAATCCAGGACACGCACCAGCTTGTAGGCATACCAGTCCTTGCTCTGCTGGTTGAATGTGTACACGGCAAACTCCAGGGTGAAAGGGAGATAAACGGCAATTAGTTTTTGGTCATTCCACTCCTCTTCCTTTTGGAAACTCCAGGTATAGGTCACCAGGAGCTGGGAGCCAAAGAGAAGCATGAGTGGCACCCAGAAGAGAGCCCAGCTCTGTGGCAGACTCGGCATGGTGCAGAGCACTGGACCCCTGACTCCAGCCCTCCCAGGTTAAACTCCCACAGGAAACTGCTGCACACAGCTCTGACCCTTAAACTCCTGAGCTCAGGCAGAAACTCCCCACTGTATTACAATCTGTCCCTCCCAAATGTGGCCTTGCCTCCTCCAGACAAAGTTGCTTCAATCATCTCTTGTCCAGGAGGAGTAGCAGCAACCATGGGGGTGGATTAGAAAGATCAGCAGTGGGAGGGAGGGTCTGCTGGGCATGAGGTCCCACCACCACTGCTCCCTAGTGCCTCAGTGGGCTAGAGGAGAGCACCCACTTCCTTCGGCATCCCAGGATCAGATCCTGATATAAGACCAGAAGTGCAAGAGGTGTGAATGGAAGGTGATCCCTGGACATACCAGGGCAGTGGGGAAACAAAAGCAGTGGGTCAAAGGAGGAGCTGGCGGAAGCAAGGGCTGTGGGTGAAGAGACGGCACGGCTGCACGGGACTCAGGAAGATCCACACCACCTGCCTGAGCATGAGCAACCTGATTCTTTCGGGCTCTGAAGCTGAGGGTGAAGGCTGCTCTTGGGCATCCTTCACTGCTGTTTAAAGCTGAGGACCTGCTCCACTGGCAGAGCGACCTCCCGACAAAGAACTTGAGGGAGATTAGTACAGGTGCTCTCAGCTAGATTCAGCCACTGGAGATACAAGTTTGGCAAAGTTGGGGGATGGTCCTAGGAACCCCACTCCGCTGGATGTCAGGGATAGAGGAGAGGGCTAGGGACAGAAACAACGCTGTGCATTCAGCTCTAGGTCACTTTCTCCTGAGCATAGCCGTACGTAAGTGTGTCCTGTGCTGAGCTCTGACCTTGGATGTGGTGACCATGAAGAACAATGTGCCAGGGACAAGGACACTCCCATGAGCTGGTGCACACCCTTCCTTCCCAGGCCTGCAGGGCGGAGGGAGCATCCAGGTGGGACTCTGAGTCCATGGATGCTGCTCACAAGAGAGGGTCTCAGCAGATCTGCCTGCAGCACAACCCACCCCCTCTGGCTGACCCTCTCAGCCCTGAGTCATGAGTGACAAGTGCCATTTCATGGTTCCACCCCCTGAGATCCTTGTCCCTTCCAACAGCTGGCAGCACTTGAATTCACTGGAGTTCTCTCAGAGGTACAGGGCGTTGGGAGTGGGGGTGGGGTTGGTCCTAGCCTTGGAGACCTGAGAGCCAGTCCAGCCATGCCAGGAGCCGGTCCTGCATCTTCAACCTTCTCTGAGCTTCTTGGGCCTCACTTGTCCACTCCTCAGATGGGAGTAGCATCATCCATCCAGCCTCCAGAGGCTTGTTGCTTCCTGGATAAATTGTCCTCATGGAGTCAAAGCGCTGTGATAATGGCAAAGTTGTACGCTTAGCTTGGCAATTGTTCTGCACTGGCAACTCCTTTCCTTATCTCTGCTGAGGGTACATCTGGACCTTGCACATTTGGCATTTCTTCCCGACCCCAGCCTAGGGAAGGAATGAAGGACAGGCTCAGCCCTGCCACCAAGGCTGACAGCAAAGTGCAGATTCTGGGAGCTGTTTTCCCCACTGTGATGACCGGAGGCACCTGCATATCTCTCCAGCAAGGAACGCAGACGAAGGAGGCCAAAGCACAAGAAATTCCTGCAGAGAGGGGCTCAGAGGGAGGGCAGGCAGGGGCCCTGGAGATAGCCACAGTCCGGTTTCCTCCCCCTGCTTTCTCCAGGGCCCCAGCTGGGTGCTCCCTTGTACTCTCGTCACCCACTTGGAGCATCCTACCCATCTGCACCACGTGCTGTCCATCTCTTTGATCTTCATACTGAGTCTATTTTTCTTTCTGAGTCACAGAACCATCATTTATCCAAGTCAGATTTCTCAACCATAGTGAGAACAGACGGATAAACTCACCCCCACTCCCCAACAAGCGTATCATGGCCAAGTACAGGAATCTGTAGTTGACATTTAAAGGCTTTTGTCCAATTCTCTCACATACATCACTAGTCAAAGAGCAAGGAAAAGAATGTTCTTATTGCAGTCGTGACTTGGTGCATGATTTGATCTTGGACTGACAGCATGCACGGTACAGCAATGCAAATGCAGGTTAGATGATCAAAAGAAAAAAGTCCATCAAGAAGCCATAACAGTATGAACCTGCATACAAATGCCACCATAGGCTTGGAGTATATGACAGAACAAAGGGCAGTGTCACAGGGAATGTGGCACTTCTGCAGCCACGTTGGGAGTGTTTACTATGTCTCCCAGAAGCTGGCTTACAGAGCCCACGTGTTATAAAGGATACAGCAGGGTTGACAGATACAGTAACCAGCCTACTTCAGTAGTTGCCTGTAAATTTCTTTACTAAATATAAAATGTAAAGTGTGTTTAAATTGTGGCAAAATAAACAGAAAATTTGTTTAAATATATTCACATTGCTGTACACAGTATATAATTTTTTCAAAGAATGATCTGATAATTATGAAATTAAAGTGTTTGTTATATTACAAGGATTCTGGCAAAATAACCCTCCAGGCTTAGCTGGTGGGGTTTGGGTACACTGTACTTACTGAGAATGATGTCATTGGCTGCTCCCTAATACGTAAGCTCTCACCCCAACATCTCCTGAAGCTCTGCCCCACCGCCTGGCTCTCATGGGTTGCCAGGCTCTTTCTTCACAAGAAACCTGATTCCTTGATGGCAGGAGTTTTGAGTCTTTGTTGTGTACCTCTGTACTGTCTCTGTGCTGAACATTGACAGGGAAAAGGACTGGAATTAGCAGGGCAGCGCCTCCCATGGTGATCTCCAGCTCCTGTGGAGTTCTGGAACAGAACAAGTTCCGTAACCGAACAAGTTCCCTGGAGGATGATGCCAGGATGGGAGGTTTGAGGGCATCTGGAGCCAGGAGCCCTCAGCCAGGTATTCTGTACCTCACTGAGGGCAGCCTCACAGCCCAGAGATGCACCATCACTTACTGGCCTGGGGTCTGAGCTGGTTATGAAAATGACCCCTACAAAGGTGTGTGGAAGATGGGTGGTGGCTGGATGCAGTGGCTCATGCCTGTAATTCCAACAGTTTGGGAGGCCCCAGTGGGAAGGTTGCTTGAGCTCAGGAGCTCAAGACCAGCAAGAGCAACATCAAAAAAACTCCATTTCTACAAAAAAAAATACAAAAATTATTATTTTTTTTTTGTATTTTCTATACAAATGGAGTTTTTTGATGTTGGGCATGTTTTGATGTTTTTTTTGTGGGGGGAATGCTGGTGTGTATCTCTAGTCCCAGCTATTTGGGAGGCTGAGGTAGGAGGATCACTAGACCCTGAGAGATGGAGGCTGCAGCGAGCCATGATCACACCACTGCTCCCCAGCCTGGGCAACACAGTGAGATGTCTCAAAAAAATAATAATAATTATGAGTGACTACTAATACACACTGCCCACCCCCCTTTGTTGTAATTTAACCTTCTAATTTAGATTCAGAAGAGTACATGTGTAGGTTTGTTACATGGGTGTATTGGGTGATGATGAGGTTTGAGGTATGATTGATTCTGTCACCCAGGTAGTGAGCATAGTACCCGATAGTTAATTTTTTAACTCTTTCCCCCATCCCTCCCCACCCTACTATTTTCTAGAATTTCTGTTTAGCTCCCACTTATAAGTGAGAATATAATGTATTTGATTTTCCGTTTCTATATTAAATCACTTAGCATAATGGTTGCTAGCTTCACCCATGTTCCTGCAAAGGATATAATTTTGTTCTTTTTTACAGCTGTGTAGTATTTCATGGTGTATATGTGTCAATTTATTTGTAATCAAATACACTGTTGATGGACACCTAGGTTGATTCCGTGTCTTTGCTATGGCAAATAGTGCTGCAATGAACATAAGAATGTATGTGTCTTCTTGGTAGAATGATTTATTTTCCTTTGGGTATATACCCAGTAATGGGATTGCTGCATTGAATGGTCTTTCTAGTTTTAGTTCTTTGAGAAATCGCCAATTGCTCTCCACCGTGGTTGAAATATTTGCATTTCCACCAACAGTTTTTCCTTTTCTCTGCGGTCTTACCAGCATCTGTTGTTTTTTGACGTTTAAATATTTAATCATAGCCACTCTGACTGGTATGAGATGATATCTCACTGTGTTTTCTTTTTTAACTTTTATTTTAGGTTCAGGGGTACATGCACAGATTTGTTTTATAGGTAATTTGCCTGTCCAGGGGTTTGCTGTACAGGCTGTTTCATCAAGCAAGTACCTGTTGGTATTGCTGTGATTCTCACTAACCCCTGGCTTTCCACCCTCCACCCTCAAGTAGACCTGAATTCCTTTCTTTGTGTTGATGTATACTCAATGTTTAGTTCTCACTTATGGGCAAGAACATGTAGTATTTGTTTTTCTGTTCCAGTATTAGTTCACTTAAGATAACGGCCTCCACTGAGGCTGCAGTGAGCCGAGGTCGCGCCACTGCCCTCCAGCCTGGTGCCTGGTGACGGAGTGAGACTCTATATATTCAACGTATTGTCTTTAAACAGTCTACTGTTTGTGGACCTTTAGGTCGATTCCATGTCTTTTCTATTGTGAATGGTGTTGTGAAGATTATACACATGGATGTGTTTTTATGGTAGAATAATTTATATTCCTTTGTCTATATACTCAATAATAAGTTTTCTAGGTTGAATAGTAATCCTTCTTTGAGTTCTTTGAGAAATCACCAAATTGCTTTCCATAGTGTCTGAACTGATTTACATTCCCACCAGCCGTGTATAAGTGGGAATGCTCTCTTTCTTCCACAACCTTTACCAGCATCTGTCTTTTCACTTTGTGATAATAGACGTTCTGACTGGTGTGAGTGGTATCTCATTGTGGTTTCAATTTCCATTTCTCTAATGATTAGTGGTGTTCAGCATTTTTTCATATACTTGTTGGCCACATGTATGTCTTCTTTAGAAAAGTGTCTGTTCATGTCCCTATGTTTTAATGGGGTTATGCTTTTTTTTTCTTATACATTTGTTT